TTCAAAAGGAAGTATGGGTCTATCACGTTTTCTTTTGCCTGTTACAAATCAATGCCCAAAGACATAATACCCTACGCCACAAGGTGATCAGGGTATTATGTCTTTGGGCATTGGTTTGTAACAGACCAGGAAAACGAGGTAGATCCATAGTTCCTTTTGATGATCTGCATAGAATCACATTCTGAGTAGACTTTTTTATTCATTATTTATTTGTATAAATGTCATAGTACAAATAAATAAATTAATTAATCAATTAATTAATAAATGTCTCTTTGTCCGTCCATCTGTCTGTCCATGTATTTTTTCTAAACAAAGTAAAGGTCGCATTTATTGCCCGATCCAGGTGAATTTTTGCACAAGTAATTTGTTTGAGCCAAGAACGAACCCCAAAGAAATTGGAGATAATCGGACAAATTTTAGACATAGCTCCCATATATATTTTCGTCCGATTTGCCTTTTATTGTGCACCAAACGTGTAATATTATTCCAAATATGATGGAATTTGGCACTTACTACCAAATTGAGCCTAGAAACAATTATGACAAATTTGATCGAAATTGCTTCAGCTATAGCTATAGCTCCCATATATATTCTTCATCCGATTTGTTGTTTAAGTCCCCCAAATTCTTAATATGCACCCCACAACAATGATGTTTGGTATCAGATATCAGATACAGCCCAGAAATACCCCTGCCAAATTATATCAAGATCGGTTCAGATTTGGAAATAGCTTCCATATATATATCTTCAACCGATTTCGGGATAATTGTGCACCAAATGGCCAATATTAGTCCAAATGACCTGAATTTTGGCAAATCCAGCCGAATTGAGCCTAGAAACAATTATGACAAATTTGATCGAAATCGCTTCAGCTAAAGCTATAGCTCCCATATATATTGTTCATCCGATTTGATATTTTTGTCCTCCGCAGTCGTAAAAGGCAATCTGTAACAAAGATATTTGGGGAAATTAATCAAATACAGCACAGAAATACCTTACCCAAATTTTATTGAGATTGCTCCAGATTTGGATATAGCTCCCATATATATATCTTCGTCCGATTTGGCTTTTATTGTGCACCAAACGTGTAATATTAGATCAAATGGGATGGAATTTGTCAGTATGTCAAATTTGGTGAAAATTTGGACTCAGATATAGCTATAGCTCCCATATATATTGTGCATCCAATTTGTTATATGAAGCTCTACTAAATATGTAAAGGGATGTAAGGTATTATAAAGTCGGCTCCGTCCGACATTTAATCTTCCCTTCCTGTTTTCGCTTTGTATTTACTCCAGGGAATAAGGAAAGTACAAAAGTCGGGTAAACCCGACAGTTGACAGAAAAAAATTACACATTCTGGCAGTTCTGGAACAATTGTAACAACAACCACATGCAAATTTGTTTTTGCGCGTAATATAAGTGTCAGAGTTATGTGCCCAAAAATGTAAATAAAATAATTAATTTTCAATAAATTATTTTAATTTCAAAAATATACATTTTTGGAATTTGGATTATTAAATTGAAAATGCAAAAGTATAGTCCTTAAAATATTTAATGTTAATGATTTCACACATTCCCCTGAATGTATAGTTGTTAGCTGTTGGTCCTAATCTCTCAACACTTCAAGCAATCTCTAGATAATCGTGGAAAATGCAACATCCCTTCCAAGTTGAAACCATGGCAGAAGAATACAGGTAGATGCATCATTTAAATGTTTTTTCAAATATAAGTAGATTTTTATATGTTTTTTTTTATACTACGTCAGTTGGAGGCTATTATAATTCGCGTTTTTCAACAATTTTTACAAATTTAAATAATTTTTCATTCAACATTTTCAATTCCTAAATTTGTTTGACAGTTTATTGTTCCAGCAGCTGTTTCGACGCATCTACCTATATTCTCAAAAAAATTTAAATGTTTTTGTTTTCAAATATAAGTAGATTTTTACACGTTTTATTATACGACGTCATTCGTAGGTTAGAATAATTCGCATTTTTCAACAATTTTTACAAATTTAAATAAATTTTCATTCAACATTTTCAATTCCAAAATTGGTTTGACCTGTTTTCTTCTACCATGGTAGCAACCAAAAATACTATTGTGATTGAAAAAAACTCAAACTAAACATTTTTGTTTACGTTTTCATACTTTTAATTCATAATTTCCAGCTGACAACACTTGCAAAGAGTGTGATACCCAATGAGAGAACTTCACATGTTATGAGAGAGAAAAATACCCAAACAAAATTCTTCCAATTTGTATTGGTCACTCACGAACAAATTTGTGATTGTGTGTATTTTCGTTGTACATCAGTAGAGAATATAAGTAAGAAAATCAATTCCCAAACTTGTCAACAAAATATTTGCAATTTCTAAATTACTTACTCTCTTATTGCGTATTACAAAATTGTTGCTGATTTGTTGCCTCTCTTGCAAAAAACAAGGCATTTACATTTGGTTTTATCCGTTCACAACGTTTGCGTACGTTCGCTCCTTTTCCAATTTGCACTGACTGAAGCAATTCGAAATGAAATGTCTGGCAGATATGCTCCCACACATACATTGACATATTTACTGTGCCGGTGTTTGTGAGAAATTCCGTTAAAGAAAAAGCTCTCATTGCAGAGAAAATACTCTTCTGAAATGATTCGATAAACAAAACAACAGAACCTAAATCGTGTTGCCTTTTCGCGGTTTTTTGACGATACATTGCCTCTGTTTTACTAATTCACAATAACAAACACATGAAGTCACATTTCATTTCATTTCTCTATTGTAAATGATTGACAGTTGTGATTGATATTTGCATAAAATTGCCCGCCAAAATGAGACTACAAATCAATTTTAAAAATAAATATTATTTTGCGACAGATGTTGTGGGATTTAAAATTGTCAAATCAATATAACTAATAAAATTAGAGGTATATTCTTTATAAAAAAACGTACTTAAATAGCGGAAACCCGGGTTAACTTTTTTGCGTTTTTTAACGAAACATTTACTCATGACATGCATTACGTCCCTGTTTTAGTAATTCACAATAACAAACATATGAAGTCACATTTAAACTCTATTGTAAATGATTGCCAGTTGTGATTGATGTTTACATAAAATTACCCGCCAAAATGGGACAATTTAAATATTTTTTTGCAATAAATGTTCGGAGGTTTTAGAGTTTATTTAAATATGGTTTAATAAATCATCACTTTTATCGCCAGTGGCAAAGACGCTTCAGGCTTTACTCCTCCCCAGCATAAGAGAGTGTTTCCCAATCAACACGGATTCCGGAAATTGCATGGCACAACAACAGCTTTACACCCCATTTCCAAACATATCGGCAGAGGACTCAACCAGAATTGGCCGTGTGATAGGACAGTTATGGTGGCACTTAATTTATCAAAAGCTTTTGATACAGTCAGTCATGCCGCACTGTTCGAGGACATTAAACGCACCGCCATCCGGCCAAGTTTGAAAGGTTGTATAGTAAACTACATGTGTGGACGCCAGTCGTACGTGGAATTCAGAAACACAGTCGGGCATTTGTAGTGAAATAGGGAGTTCCCCAAGGTGGGTGATAGCACCGGAGCTGTTTAACCTCTACCTTTCTGACATTCCACGCCCTCAAGATGGCATAGAGATAATACCGTACGTAATAAGGAAACCTTGTTGATATCTTACAACGCGATAGGCCGGTCTGCGGTAAAGTATAAAGAATAAGTTTAGTTCTGTTCGAGTTGGTCACCTTTGGCACGTATTATGGCCTTCAAACGGCCAATGAAACCGTTACACGCTGCCCGAATGTCGCACTGCGGTATTTTGGTCCATTCCCGGCGAAGCGCTTGCTTGAGGTGATCGACATTTAGGTATTTTTTAGTGCCAAACTTACTTTACAAAATACTCCAGACAAAACAGTCCAACGGATTCGTATCCGGAGATTTTGGTGGCCATTGTGCGCTGGAAATGAAGCGAGGAACCTCATTTTGTAACTACTCTTGGGTGGCGCATGCTGAATTCGATGGTCTTGAGTCCTGTTGGAATGTCCAAGGTCTGCGGCCAAAATGTTTGCGTGCCCAAGACTTTAATACACCCTCCAGAATATTTTCGCGATAATATTCGACATTTATTCTGATGCCACGGTTGATTATTATGAGCGGAGAGCGACCATCGGCTGTTATGGTGGCCCAAACCATCACCATGGCCGGCGCTTGAGTTCTGGTGGCCACCACCAATCCACATTTTCAGCTGACCTCTTTGACAAGTAAACACGGTCATTTAGTTTGTTCATATAACTCCTGGACACCGAATTTTTTCTCATCGGAGAAAACTGAATTCGGCAGTTCACCCCTCTTCGGCCAAGCGTAGCAACTCTTTAGGTCTTTTGAGTCTATTTTCTATCTGTTATTGTCGCGGTGTAAGTTCTTGCACTTTTTTGGAATTTCAATAGCTTTACCCCGAGCTCATTTTTCAATATTTGCCAAATGGAATATTGCGATATGTTTAGCTCATTTTTCGGCCACTGCGACCCGGATTTCGATCAAGACTTTACTTTCTTTACTTTTCGAATCATTTCTGCTGATGATGTTGTTTCTGATTTCTTGCGTCCACTTCCTTGACTTTGTCGGGTTAGGCTACCGGTATCATGGTATCGAGCGATGGACGAGACGACACAAAAGATTTATTCACATTTAAATGCTGGAGTGCTCTCCAGCTCTCCAGAAATCATACTATCACACTTAAACCTCATCACGGATAGTTTTTTGTCTGAAAATTCTCAGTAAAATGCTTTTACGTTCGCCTGTAACTGTATCATGGATTTTTTTCTGGGATTACAGAACCCCTTTTACTATTTCCGGGATTTTTTGTTGACCAAATTCAAGTGTTAATTGAAATGTTTTGGCATTCACTTCCGTATCATCATACAAAAACAAAATGCTTCCCGGATACCTTTATTCATTTGTCTGTATGTGTCTAACTCCTGCGGAACGAAGTATACCTGAATATTACGTTAAAATAAATTATTCGTATTTTATTTGTCTGTAAAATGTGAACTTAAGATATCCTTTTATCAACTAACTTAACAATAACCTTCCTAAATATCCAAATTTTAGTTTAATTATTAATGGCTACTTGGAAAAGACCTTACATACCTTACCTTCCTAAATATCCAAATTTTAGTTTAATTATTAATGGCTACTTGGAAAAGACCTTACATACAGATATTTACAAAAATAACTTGTGATTGGCTTTGCTAATCACTTTCAATTTCTATATAAATTTCATCTTCTGTTTCGGCATAATTTCCATGGTAAATATTTTCAAAATCGCTTGAAAATAATTGATATTCTGTTGTACTTTTTGTTGCTGACAATTTCGCGGAGTGTTTGGTCTTTGAATTGCATTTTTCTTTAGAGCTTTTATCAAGTCTCTTTTCTTCGTCGTCGTCATCTTCACTATTGTCTATTTCGATACAATCATCACTTTTTTCCAATTTGATATCCAATTCTATGCAATCATTGGAATTCTCATCAACGTTGTGGGACGAGTTTCCATCACTGCGTCGCAATACATTTTCATCCTGGCGGCAATTTTCTTCAGCACCATCTGTGAGTTTTCCTTCATTTTCCTCATCATTATTCGTTTCCACATCCATGTAATCATTGCAATTTTCTTTATTATTTTTTTCTTCATCATTGTTGAACTTAGGAAAATCGGAATCATTTTGCAAGTCTATGTCACTTTCGGAAGATGTTTCCTCTTCACTATTGGAAATTTCCCCCACATTAAGTTCAAAGTCTGAATTATTTTGCAAGTCTCCAATACTTTCGCAACTTTCTTCATCACCACTGGAGATTTCTTCAGAGGAAATTGTTATGTCAGAATTGGTATTTAATTTTTTGTCAACAATATTGGAAATTTTCTTCGATGTTTGTAAGTTATCTCGGCTGTTTTCCTTGTAGCCAATTTTTTCATAATTCGAATTCGTTCCAAAATTATCTATTATTTCATTATCTGTTACCCTTTCAATCTCTTCTTTAATCCGAACTTCTGCAGTATCTTCAAGTTCTTGTATGACAAAATACTCTTCAGAATTTCCCTGAGACGCAATGGTAGTTGTAACAGCTGTGCCACTGGCCGAGGAGCACTTCGGCCTTTCAGGATTCAAACTGGTAATGCTATTTTTGGCATTCCCCGCTTCCACACACTGATGATAACCCAGATTTGCTTCACTGTATGTCAACAAAGTCTGGCAATGACGACAGCAAACAACAGAAAATTCTTCATTTCTACCAATAAATTCAAAATTTGAATCCAAATGTATGGGTTCATCCTTAATGTGTATTATTTTATTAACACTACCCGATTCATTGTTGATTGCATTTAAAACGCTGTCCTGAGGCTCATTATTTTCAGATACTCCCTCTAATTGTATCATAGGGGAATTGCATGAAGTGTCTGGAATTTGTTCATCAACATTTAGGCTGTTATCGTTTTCAATTTCCTCCACAACCTTGCTTATGTCTGCACTTGATGCTTCTTCATTTTCCATTGGTTCTAATTGTATTTCTATCTTTTCCACATTTTCTTCTTGTCTCTTATCATCATCGCTTTTATTGCTTGCTTTCCTTTCATACCAAAGTTTATAGGTACAGGAACTGTCTTCTTGAGTCCCTGGGATCTTTTCGAAGACGACTTCATTATCTTCTGTTCGATGTGGAGATTCTATATTTTTGCTATTAACTGATTCTGCATCGTATCCTATGGTGTTTTTTGATTTTATGTTTTCCCGTTGCCCATAGCATCTGGGAGCTGTTGTTTTATCCTCTTGAAACTCTTTTCTTGTCCCTTTTTCACAGTCTCCTGGCTCGAATTCATTATTCGTTTCTAGTGGTACAGATTTCTCCTTTACTTTCAGCCTTTTATTTTCATAATTTCTAATAGACTCGAGGTCATTCTCATATAAACGTTTAGATCCTTTCCCCTTCAGCTCTTCACTATTATCACATTCGTTTTTTTGTAATTTCGATTCATTTCCTTGTCCCCCTTGTACCACTTCATAGTTCACCAGGCATTCATGTTGGGCTATACTCTCCTTCTCACTGCCCGTACTCACTTCAAGGGCCTGTTGACATTGCCGACAATACAGAAAATTCTTGATGGGTTTCTGCTCATCACAGATAACTGCAAAAACCTTCCACATACGACTCTTGCGATTCTCGACAAATTTCAATTTATATTTGCCACATTTCAAATTGATGGCTATACGTCTGGCCATTTGTTTGGCTTTGTATTTTTCCAGGCATTTGTGTGCGGGACATGTGTTGTTGTTTTTAAATTCACATAATTCCCGACATTTCAGGCAATAGACAAAGTCATCCAATGTCTTGTCGTCTTCGGTTTTGATAATTGCAAACACCTTCCACATAGCATTTCTTTGATTGGTCAACTGTTCGGTGCGATAATTGCCGTTCTTTAAATTTTCTCTAATATTAGCTTCCATTTTGGCACGTATTATCAGTTCATCGCCCGTGGTATCCTGGTTCTGGACACAACAACATGAATGTTGAAACAAATAGAAAATGTCCAGGGGTTCGGTATATTTCTTGACCTTCAGGCATTTATAACAACAGACCATATCTTTTAGTTGGGTATTATCTTCCAGTATGATATGGGCAAAACGTTCATTTATGAACAGTCTCTGGCTTTTTATGGGTTTCAGGGCATATCTAAACAATCGTATACGATTCTCAATTGATTTTTTGTAAGCCACATACTTTATAGAGGATTGCAAGCTGAAACAGAAACATGGGTTAGAATTGGCTATATAAGCTATTGGCTGCTTTTGTGTGACGATTCCGAAGTGCAAGAATCTTAATCTGCAAGAATGTTAATTTTTTACTACGATAACCGAATTTCCCTTTATGATATCATATATATCTGGAACAGAGCATTAATATTAGAAAATCGAAATTTCAAACAAACATATGCTGTTATCCACAACCTGCAAAAATCTACTAGGTTTGCCATTTTGGTCGATTTTATAAAAGGGAAAATCGGTTATCGCAGTAAAAACTTTTATATTCTTGCAGTTCTGGAACAGAACAATGTTTTTTTCTTTTTGAATTACTTTCGAATCGTCATACAATATGCAGTAGGACTTTTGCAATCCACTACTCACTTTCTTCGGAACAATTTGTCTTTTTCCACGCCGCAGTTATGCAGATACAGATGCAGCTCCTCATCATCTTCTTCGGGGTAATGCAAAACCCTTTGACAATGGCGACAATAAATGTAATCACATTCAACATTTATACCATATTCGATTTCAAAAACTGATTGCCGTCTCTTCAGGGTGATATATGCGAAATTTTTCCATATACTTTTCTGCAATGAATCGGAAACTTGCGACAGCTTATAATAGCCAATGTATATGCTTTTTCTCAATGCCGATTCTCTCTTTGCAATAGCTAGCAATGCCTTGGGATCATAACATGGATGTGCTCGCAGATAAACCTCCTTGAGTAATTTCCAACATTTAATACACCACACATAGCCATCGATAGTTTTGGATGAGTCTGTGAAAATACGGGCGAAAAATCTCGCTAAAAGCGTGTGACGGAATTGCGAGCCACGTTTAACTTCGTAGTGTATATTGTATACACCCGAGGATAGTTTAGTTTCTATATCGTTTCGAACACTATCCGGCACGCAAACTATCATGTGCAACGTTAGACGTTGCTTGTAGTTTGAACCCTGGAACTGTACAAGCTTACAGCATTGTCTGCAACTAACCAATCCATTGATGATTTTATTGTTCTCATCAACAATGCAATTGAAGTGGTGAAACACAGTCTGCAGAGTTGTGTCCAATAGTCGCAATTTGTATAAACCTGTTTGAATGTTGTGGGTTACAGTTTTCAGTAGAGCCTCATCTATGGTATCCATGGCAGTTCTCGGTTGAGATTCGTCTATGGTATCCATGGCAATTGGGAAGGGGTTTTTGAATTTGTGAGATCAAGTTCCTAGATATATCTAATAAAGAAAAAAGTTAATATTGATACATTGGAATTGGTGTTCTTTGGCATACTTTATCAGGAGGGAAGATTTATTGCTGATCCCCAGACGCGCTCACCGCTATCATCATCCAAAGCGAATGCAGTTGTCAGGAGGAAATTTTTATTGCTGGTTGCAAAACGCCTTAATCGCTATCATCCAAAACAAATGCAATTGCAAAAACAACAAAGTGCAGCCGTAGAGTGCAGTTCCGGGAACCTAAACAAAAGAGTTTATTTTGAAAACAATACATTTTTTAAAAATGTCTTTATTTACCCATCCACCGAAACAATTTATATAGTTTTAAGCGATTATTCTTTTAAAGACAATAAGCCAGGCACTAATCCTGAGAACAGTTTTTAGTAACAAATTTTAATACATTTGAATACTTTTTAGTCATGTTTGATTTTGTCCACTTTTGCAACACCTCCATCTGTTCTTGTCTCCAATGCAATTGGTACGAAAGCCAATGGAACGTAATGGTTAAATACGTTAATATCAATAAATATATGCAGATATTTATTATTTATTGTGTTATTGTTTTATTTGTTAATATTATTATGTTTAATACTTTTTTTGTTTGGGTCAATGAAAAGTTTGCAAGGCCCCTCTTAAAAATATTACGCCGTTCAAAAAAACAGCTGGTTTCCTTTGGACACAGCACTCACAATGACACTTAAGCATAATTATATAAAGTAGAGTACAGACTATCGATCACATTTATGGTTTTATTTGAGCTATTTTTGAAACGAAATCTTGTCAAATTAGCACAACACGCATGGCATAATTACAGAAGGTAGAACAAATCTACCTCCTAAATACAATTTTTTTTTTATTTTGGTGCTCTTATTATGACAAAACATATCCACATTTTGTTTATGTCAATCGCTTTACGTGCTATTATATTTGAAAACATACTTTTAATAAGCCAAGTTCTTTTTTATTTAAAATATAATATTAGCTTTCATGGTACAATAAAAAGGTAAGATAAAGCTACCAGCTAAGTGTGCCCGACTTCTGCCAATTTGGTGTATGTATTTATTGTTTTGAAAAATGAAAACAAAATATTTTCAAAATCAATCATTGGAAGACACGTACATTGCGGCACGCGCATTAAAGTTATTAACCAGTTTAGCCATCAAATTAAAAGATTGAAAAGTTTGGATTATATTTTTGAGAGAAAATCCTTGCATATCATTCATTTTTGGCGCTATTTAACTCATTTTAAAATAGGGAAAAATATGAAAAAAAAAACTCGTTGCATATAATTTTGAATGAGTCTGGCTGGAAGCGGGCATAGCCTCAAGGCTATACTTCTGCAATTTTACGAAGCTGTTCTACCTCCTTATTGTACCATGATTAGATCTTATCCATGGTAGAAGAATACAGGTGGTCGCATTGACACAGCTGCTGGGGAAATGAACTGTCAAACCGATTTTTGAATTGAAAATGTTGAATAAAAAATTATTGAAATTTGTAAAAATTGTTGAAAATGCCTATTATAACAACCTCCTATTTGCGTCGTATAAGGAAACATAACATTTTAAAATTTTTGACATATCAATTTCCCACGCGTTGATGGTCTATATTCTTCTACCATGCTCTTATCACTACAATAATATGTCTTTTTTACATTACAAAACTAAATATAATTAAGAAATTACCGTTCATAATACACATTTTTTCACACTTCATTTCTTTGCAAGGAATTTAAAAATAATATATTACTACAAATATCGGGATTTTCGATTATAAATACACCTTGTCACATATCCTATCCTGTAGCTTTCCAGGATAGGATATGTGACAAGGTGTATTTATAATCGAAAATCCCGAAACAAAATAATTTCATTTCATTTATTTACCTTACAAAGAAATATAAATAAGCCCACAGGGCCCATAACTTATATTATCTATCTACAATACCCTAACATAATACAAATTGAATGATTAATTCAAACTTAACAAATAACATATTAAACCTAATAATTTATCTTAATAATTCACGAGAAGCTCGAACCCTACACCTCGATTCACCATCACCAACTAAACAATAGTCTAGTAGAGCAGTGAAAAAGTGTAGCAGAAACGAGCTAAAAATAAGAGATAACTATTTTATTACTCACAAAACAGAGTATAAATAGTAACTAACATTATACCCTACAAATAAAATTAAGAAGATAATATAGTGGCTCCCCAGCCCAAACAAAAAGAAAAGCAAAAAGAAAGACCCATAATAAACCGACGCAACCACTACAAAAACATAGCCTACATATTTAGGCGAAAGTATTCAATTACTTTAACCCTAAACAGATAATTGGTATGGGCAAAAGTACGTAAGGCCAAAGGAAGCTGATTCCACAATCTCACCGCCCTAACCACAAATGATCTCTCACCAATGGAGGACGAAAACCTTGGACACAACAATTGAGGATTTCGAGATGATCTACAAAACAAAAAGTTGTCACGAAGAGGACAGTCAAAAATGCACATAACACTGTAATGAAATTGAAGAATACGAAGATCAACGTAGCTGCTAAATGGCAATCCCAGGAGATCATTAACAAAACAAGAAACATGATCACCACGACGCAAGCCATACACATAACGAACAATCGAATTTACCGCCCTACGGATACGTTGCATTTGAGAAGAAGTAGTACCGGAGACTACCTCTAGACAATAATTTACCTGCGATAGCAGCAAGGATACAACCACTCTCTTCCTAACATGACAAGGCAAATAAGCATTAAGACAATACAGCCTCCGCAGCTGAAACCTTATACGACAAAGCAAGGAATCAATGTGTCTCTTAAAGTCCAACTTCCGATCAATTATAACACCAAGACATTTCATTTCATCAACAAATTTCACTAACACAGAACCCACAGTAATATTAAGAGAACCACCATTACCATGATCATTGAACAGCATAGCTTTAGTTTTATTCCAATTAATCATAAGGCCATTTAGCGAAATCCACGACGAAAGAGACAAAACAATAGAATTAACCAACCCTTCCAACCCAGCAATATCAGCCTCTCTGAAGAAAACATGAATATCATCTGCATACAAAAACAGACAACACCTGTCATCAACAACTGAGTGCACAATGTCATTAATGAACATAATAAATAACAACGGTCCCAGTACAGAACCTTGCAGGACTCCACATTGGACACTACAAACTTCAGACGAAACACCCAAATGAACAACAAACTGAGACCTACCTTCCAAATATGAAGCCATTAAACGACACGCAGAAGATGAAAAACCAAACTTAAACCTCAGCTTGTCAAGTAAAAGGGAATGGTTTATCGAATCAAAAGCCTTTGACAAGTCAAGGCCCAATAATAACCCAACATCAGATGAATTAAATACATCTCTGATCATGTCAGTAAGATATAATAAGTGCGTGGTCGTACTACATCGCCGCCGAAAACCAAACTGAGAACTACTCAATAGCCTACGATCATCAAGGAAGTCAACAATCGCTTCTTTAATAATATGCTCAACGATTTTTGACATAGCAGGTAGAATGCTAATGGGACGCAGATTCGGCAAATCAAATGATTCACCAGTTTTCGGCACAGGAACAATTCGTGCAACCTTCCACGCCCGAGGAAAAGTAGATGTCATAAAAATCGAGTTAACAAAATGCAGGAAATGACAGGAAATGTATGGAAATATAAGTTTAAAAAACTTTACTGGCACGCCATCAACCCCCACAGCTCCCGACTTAACTTTATTTAATGACCTTACAACATCAGAATAAAATATGCAATAAAACCGAAAAACATCATCTCCCACATGACCCTCACTATAAAGAGACTGACCACGCTCACCCACAAAACCAGGATTCCCACTGGAAAAATAATGATTAGCAGCATTGACATCAATTGGTGGAGCTTCATTATCACTACCCAAAACACCAAACGACTTTAGAGATTTCCACAGCTGATTATTATTCATACGACCAAAGAGATCATTATAGTACTTACGCCTCTCATTCCTCATCACAGCCTTACAACGATTCCTATACATACAATATATTATTCTATTACCCTCCATAGGTCGCTTGCGCCACTCAAAGTACGCAAGATCTCTAAACATCCGTGCCGATTTTACCACATCAGATTCCAACCATGCATCATTCCTGGGGTTGACCTTACGAACAGAAACAGGAACGAAAGACAATAGCGCGTTAAACAACAAATCAAATAGTGAAAGTTGACAATTCACATCAGAAGTGGAATATAAGGGGTTGAAGTCAAAATCGGATATGAAATTTAAAATGCCCAACCAATCCGCTCGGCCAAAGTTACGATACTCAATAAATCTCTCCTCTGAAAATACAGGCAGGTTAAGCGAACCAAAAACAAAGGCATGGTGCGATATACCAGGACATCGACCCTGAGATGAGAAACCCAAGGACAAATTATCACTAGTAAGGCAAAAATCAATTAACGAGGTAGAGTTATGGGCCAAATCATAATGGGTAGGTTTCATGTTATGCACAATAGTTAGCCCCAATGATCTGCATAATCCTCTCATCGAAACAGAGTTCGAAGACACAAATAAATTACAGTTAAAATCGCCAAGGACAATGATATTAGAGAAGCGATCAAACAAACTCTCATGTACATCACAGAAAGACTGAACATCGCCATGGGGAAGATATACTACCGCCACAAGCAAAACCAATGCCCCAATATTCAACTCAACACACACCGACTCACAAACACCAAAATTATTTGAACGAAAAACTACCTTATAAGGAATGCCACTACCAATATAGAGACATACCCCACCACCAACACGACCAACACGATCACTCCGCACCAGCTTATATCCTGGAACAACCAACGATTTCGATGAGACTGCAGAATTAAGCCAAGATTCAGTGACACCAAAAATGCTGATACCACTACCAACCAGCAAGGATCGAAGCTCATCAATTTTATTATTGAATCTCGATGGGCGAATACTTTGGCAGTTCAAGTGGCCATACGTTAGTTTACCAGACAAACCCTCAAATAAGGGTTTAAAAAAGTGAGCGTCATTAATTATGGGTCCCAGATTATCATCAAGTGACATCAAACCAAATAAAGGGGCTGGGGAGCAAAATTATGTAAATTCGATTTCGCATCTTAAACTAAAAATTGAAAAATATAAATATATAAATAAAAAAAAATAAATAATAAATAATAATGTTGAAAACATTCAATTTTTAAAATATTTCTTGGTAAAAGAAAAATTGTGTTGCCGGTTCTTGTGCACCTTTATCAATCGCCGAAACATTTTCTTGAGTTTAAGTCACAGGGATTGTTTTTAAAAGTATAAAAGAGACACTAATATTGAAAACGGTTTTTAATAATAAATTTTAAAATATTTAAATACGTTTTTCAGTAAAGTCTGATTTTTTCTAATCACCTTTATCTGTTCCCGTCTTTAATGCAATTGGTATGGAAGGTACGGAAACCTTCATTTGGTAACCATAATTTGTATGTATAAACGTCAATAATTATACTTAGTATTATTGTATTTATTTATTGTGTTATTTGTTAATTTTA